CCACCCACCCTTTCTTAAATTTTTTAAAAATTTTTTTGCATGCGATTTTTTTCCCGGTTTACTACAAAGAGCAGATAAGGTTACATATCGTACACTGGGAAAAGCTGCCAAAAAGATTAAACTATAGTCCTAGATTACCAATAAACCAATTCTACATCACAATACCCGCCTGCATGAACTACTTGGGCTGCGTCCTACAGAGCAGGCGATTACTTGCAAGAGACTTCTCCCCCTGTGCACAGCCAGAAGTGTGCCAGGTGATGTTAAGACTATTACAATGACTAATCACAGAAATGTTTGCAACCTGAAACAATTTCCTTAATTGTAATTTAAGCAATTTACAACTACTCCCATTTGTGGTGGGTCTTATGCTGTGAAAACTGTATGCTGAACTGTTGCCTGAATCAAAGAAATCAAAAAAGGCTTTTTTTTTTTTTACTTTTACCAGAATCCCCAAAGCTAAGATAAATATGCCAGCTCTTCTGGCCTCCTAGTCTAGCTTCCTTTTTTTTTAATTAAAAAAAAAAAGTCCCTTAAAATGTTTATATTTTAGGGTTTTACTTTAAATGCACATAAATGGTTGGTATCTTTCGTATTTGAGGAACGTGTTCTGGGTGTTAGGTTTTCTTTTTGGTATGGGTTAAATAAATGATTGTCCTAATGGTTCAGGAGCTGGACCCTTCTGTAACCTGAAGAGTTTGGAGACTCCAGACTTAAATCTGTTGGGTCTTTGTTTTCCATTCATTAAGGGAGATGGCAAGATCAAACTCTACCTTCCTTGAGCATTTGCTGGTTGGTGGCTGGAGAGTAAGAAAATTTCCTCAAGAGAAGATCAAACGATGCTACTTTAAAGGAAATGGCACCTAAGAGTGAAGGAGTCGATGAAAAAAATCCGATAACCCCTTCCTTTGTGAGTATGTGGCCTAACAATTTTGAATTGCTTTCAATGGTTAAGAAGGTGAGCAAGAGAAAGCACATACTGGAGTTTCCACTGTTTAAAAAAAGTGAAAATAAAACAAAAATTGAAGCTTGAACAAGGAAACACTGGATGAAAAGAAGTCTTACACCACACAAACACACACACTCAAACACACGCACACAGAATACTATGCATACGTGGACACACACAAGTAAGAATGTGTATTTGTATGGTAGGTTCTTGGAAATAGACATTCTTAGCAAATATGGATGACAGATCAATTGTAATTTATTTTCTTTTAACACTGTATCATCATAAAGAAAACTGGTATAAATGAAAAAAATCTATTTCAAATATCTACATCTAAAATTTTAGGCAGTGAAAAAGCACTTTGTTGACAAGGAGTGTGGAATGATGAATGTTAATTGTCAGAAACTGCTGAATGCCTTTTTTTTTTTTTAGTTGCCACAAACAAATTCACATATCAGAACAAACAATACTGCTAAATATTCCTTTTTGTTTTTTTGATTTTTTTTGAATTTTTTTTTTTTTGTTAAAACGCACCGGGGAAAAGAAAACAAAAAACTGGAAATTCATACATCTTTCAAAATTTGAAATTGAAGCAATATTTAGAACCATAGATGAAGAAACACTGTGGCATTGGTGTAATATACACAATGCACTTGTTTTTTTTTTTTTATCTGTAATGTACATCAAATACTTTACAACAATGCATTAACAAAAGGCAAGAAACATCTTGCTGTACAGAGGAAACCCCAAATGCAACTTGAAGCCTAGATTCACAATGAATGAGGATATTAAACAAAGTGTGAGAAGCTGTTCCCCATAAAGTATGTACGCTGCTCAGTTACTTGTGCTTAACTCTTGACCCACATCCACTGTCATGTTCTCCCTCCTTCCTTCAGCCACATTCAATACACAGCACCGAACTTCAGACTCTACAGGCCAACAGTAAAGTTGTCCCACACTGTAAAATATATATATATATATGTATATATATTTCTTTCTAATTACTCCCAGGTTTAGCTTTCATATCTTTTAGCCTTCTAAAAAAATCTCTTAATTTTTTCCATACTGGTTATCTGGGCCCTCCTATGGAACAGGCTTTAACAAACTAAATTTGCAGGAAAAAAAATGTCTTGTGGTATGCATGCACATGCACAGTTCCTGGAGCTTTTGTATCTGCCCAAGTCTCAAACCCAGGAGTCGGGAGAGGCTGGATAGTGGCTTGTTTCATAGTTAAGTTCACTATAGGGACGAGCAGCTGAATAGAAGTCGACGTAGTTGCCAGTTGACTTTAGTCCCAGGTGCATGTTGTATTCGCTTGCAGGTGGACGATGATGCACTTGGTCCTCAAAGAAGGACTCATCATAGTTTCTTGTTGAATTCTGAAACGGCTGATATGGTTCATAATCTTTTCTGCTGGGCTCCTGTGGAACTGGCTGTGTTGAAACCTGAAAGATAGTAACAAACCCACAGCTTGTTAGATACAACTTACTGTGGACAACGGGATGGAAGGAGGAGTAAATCTCCTGTTTATCATGTTGGAAATGCAAAACTGTGCGTTAACATCTACTCAAGGTATTGCTTAGTAGTGATTTCACAGCTTTACCCCGTCATTATATTTCTCTACATTTATTTAATATTATTATTAAATACAATTATTAATACTATTGCTGCTAAAGAAACTGGTTTACTTCAAAAGTAGTTCAAGCAGCGTAGATTACAGTTAGTTTCATAACTATAAGCTCTGACTATTGCAGCTATATAATGCAAACACCGATGACCAAAACTCAGCCTTGAAGAATTTGAATGGAAGCAATATACACTCAAAAATGCTAAATATTTTGTCGCTGCCTTTGCCGCAAGTGAGATTTAGGGTGACACCATATCCTTAAGAACCATTTATAGTCTTCAGGGCACTGACACAAGACAATGTCAACCTAAGTGCCCTGAAATGTGTTCTTCTGCTACTGTTAAGCAGAACCGTCTTCTTACCACCTCCTCAACACTTCATGTTGGCAACCTTGTGTTGTTGCTGCATTCTAGCAAGTTGCCTTGAAGCTGAAATATTTATGATATGCAGGAAAAACAATCTCAGGAGCCCCCTAAGCTAAGTTTGCCATGAAGTTTTTTTCAGACAGCCCTAGCGAGTCTCTGTTTTTATAGTTGGGACTTAATTAAAATCTGATATTTATAAACACAGGCTAAGTACCTTAGTGGAACACTACCTTTCACTCTATGCTACCTCTCTAAGTTTGGGCAGACTTTGTGACTGTAAAATTATATAGCCTTTCAATCCTCAAATGCTCAGCACTGGAAATACTGATGCTCAGACACTGGTGTCAGAAGATTTTACAGATCCAGATCCTGCTGACTCTGCAAGAGTCAGAAATGCTCCTTTGAGAAGAGAGGAAAGTTGCACTGCTATGTCCCAAACTCTGTGATATTCTTTCAAAGCACGCCTGGATTGGACTCTATGCGTAGAGTGCAAACAACTGCCTACACCTTTAAAAATCTGACAAGACTGGGCCCAATACCAAAACTACACAAGGGAGCAGAACTACTCTAGCTTCTATTTCTAGTACTGCTATCAAGGTGTACGGGACCTTTAGCCCCTCATTTCATTTCACATATTCAAACACAGATGTTTAATTTTGTACACAGGAGAAGAATTCTATACCAAGCAACCTATTTATATGCCAAAGAGTTAGGTACAGTCAATTTTTGAGCAGAAAATAGGGGATCGAAGTAGTGTTTCTGGGTTCTTTTTAGCTAAAAACATTCTGATATGTCAGTCATAAACTTGACATTTCGGTGAGAAAGCAAGCAGGAAAAGGGTGTGTGTGTATTTTAATTTTTTTTTTTTGTGTTTTCTTTTATCTCGCTCTTGCCCCCGAAATCAAATTAGTTGATTCATGACTGCAGAGTGTACCTGCTGTTACAACACCTCATACCACTATTTTCTCTAAAGACTGCATTAATTAGAAGGGCTTAATCTATTTAAATGCAATAAAAGCAGAAACACCTTCATGCACTGAACTGGCTCACGCAAAGAAAGAATATGATGCACCACAGGAAATACTGGCTGATTAAAACAACAATAAAGAGAAATGAGGTCACAGAATATCAGAAATGCTTCACCTTAAGTTTGTGAATTAAAACTGAAATATCAGTCTCTTAAATGGAGATTTCAGGTCATCTCGTAAAAATTTTCAAAGAAACATATTTTTTATCAATTTTACTAAATATTCATTTACCTGTCTGATACTAGTAAGAATTTTCAGTGCTTTTCTTAAATGTTTCCAGCCTCATTTATCCAGTTGAAAAAATGACGTAACTTTTGCATATTACATAGGGAAGTTGTACAAATATTAAGGATCTGTGGTAATTAAGGATAAGGTAGCATTATCTATAATGATGAAACAAATTCTACAGCTGCAGAAAAAGGTCTGTTTTCCAGGGACCAAGGAAATACTATACTGAAAATAGCAGCCATATGAATGTCACAGGTTGATACTGCAACAACCCTTTTTCTGTGAGCACATCAGCCTGGCAGCCATGCTGCCAATTACATTTTTGTAATGCCCATCTTATTCAGATGCACTTACTGTTTCCTGGTTTTCAGGAACAGGACATGTTTGGAGTCCCAAAGGCTCTAGACTGAATGGCTTAGGTGTATATACATGGGAAAGTATCCTTACCAATGAAATGCTAGTTTTTCTCTTGCCCATGCCCTGATGCATACTTTAAAAAAAAACCAAAAAACCTTGTTGCAGTTATGCTAAATGGCAAATCTGAGGGCTTTAGCTACACCTAAGTAGAGTGTGCATGCCCTTGCAGGAGATACAGGCAGTTCTTTCTCCAGGCCTGTTAAATACTTCAGTTTTTGCCAGGATGCCTTAGCACATGAGCTGTGCGGTGTCAGCAGTAGTGCTGAATTTTAAGATGGCTATACTCACGTAAGTATGGCCAGACTTCACCAAATTCACTGACATGGGACGTCACGAGATAACAGCGACAGGAGAAGTGCCCACTAATGTTAGCTTGGCTTTTGTAGCCTGCATCACACATATCCAGAACTTTAAAGGCATTCAGGTCCCAAGACCCTCTTGATTTCATTACGAGTTACAGGCTTAAACATCTTGGATATTTTTTGTGCATATGCTGGCATAATCTGTTGGACAGTTTTGAAACTTGGGCTGAAATTGTCTATTAGCATAAACAACACAATTTGTTTAAAGTCAGTGTAATTGCTAGCATTTGCACAAGCAGGTGACTCAGTTCCTCTAATCTATACTTAGATTTTCTTTGTGATATTCTTCTTCATCTCCATGTAAAATGTTACACTGGTCTTTGCCATCTGAAACAGTAAAATTTTAATCTCCGTACTTACCTGGTTATGTTTGATATCTTCAGCAGGTGCACCATACGAATTCCTGTACAAAGTTGAGATTCCAGTGTTCTGAGCTGGAGAGAGAAAAAAGGAAGGAAAAAGCAGGTTTACCAAACATACCTCTTTGTCTTCGAAGTGAATTCTTAAGGTTTCATTAAATACATTATACAGTGCCTGTTTTCCCCACAAAAAAATCTTTAAAAGCATCTGCAGACTTCTGTTTTCGCTTCCTTCCACTAAACAGTCATAATCTTTGCTTTGGTGTACATGCACTTATTAATGGCAACATGTGCTATGTTGTGTTCATACTAATCTTGTGCACGTCACATAAAAATCAACAAAAAAATTCATATGCAGCTAACATTCAGGACTATATTTCATGTTATATATGGGAATTTATATCACACAGACGTTAAACAGGTAACAGTTGTAAATATTGAGATTAAGAAACATTTCAGTATCTTCACTTCAGTTGGATGATGTGGATTATTCATCCTACGGTGCTTTTGCTATATTGTGAAAATTATTCACGGAGAAAGTGATTAAATGTAACTGAAAGATGAGTTATGCAAAAAAGTAATCTGTAGTTACACTGCAGAGGTCTGGCCAAGATAGTCTCAAATCATGAACTGCTCTCATTCTTCTAAGATGTCCTACTACTAGAATGCACAGACAAAACTAAGCTGAGCTGGAAATCAGAAGTAATTGCAAAGACAACATCATACAGTTCTGCAAAAATTTATTTCCCACCCTGCCCAAAAAACCCCAGATAAAAAGCTAAGGATTTTCCCCGCAAAGCTGACTTCACTCATCACTTTGATTTGGCTATCTAGCTGAAGCTTAGTTTGCTGGTCGAACTAGAAAGATTGTTGCTATTTCTCATATTTGAAACAATATGAGAGCAGCATTTGGCTGCTGCACACTGTTCTTACTGGGCATGCATTATTAACTTTGCAGACATTATAACCAATGATTTAATGCTCTCATGAGGACTGTCATAAAAGCACGTGCCTGAAATAAAAAATTGAGTAGCTGTGAATCAAGAGTAATCAGTGGAATTGAAACATGTTGCTCACGTGACTTCTCTCAGGTCTCAGTGCAATGGTATAAAACCTGGAGACAGCAAGAGTTGCTGTTATTACCTTCACAACTCAAAAACCTGTGGGGGTGAGGACTGAGCATCAGAGCTGAAAGCTGGGCATGGGATTCATGCTAGTCACATCACTATGAAGAATCACAGTTACTGTAGAAGTAACCACTCTTTCTTCCTTTGGCAACATGCTAGCATGGATCCCAGCACATACAACTGCCTGTCTTTCCCCCCACCACTGCACCCTCTGTGGAGAAAGGAATGGCACAGCGTTCAGTCAAAGGCTGACTGTAATACGCCACCTCTGATCTTCACATCTGCCATGGGTTCCGTGCTGAGGGTGTAATTTTTGTCAAGAGTTTGGCGTACTGCTCCATGTTGCTGCTTTACAGATCTCGTTGTGTTGTTAAAGATATCCAGGGTGTTCTTGAAACAGGATAAAGACAGAGCTTATATGGTGGGGTGATGAGCCCTAACAGCTGGAAAGAGAGATTTTTTCACTTCACAGCCATTAACTAATAGGGGTGAAAAATTTGTTCCTTGAAGAGCTGCATGCAGCTACTGAGACAATGCATAGTCCTGTGTAAGTAAATGAAGAAGTGCTCTGGAGTTCTCCAAGGAATGCAGCAGGATTCCTTCTTTAAAGGTGGGAAGAATACCAGCTATAGTAACAGATGCTGGTTGGTCTTTTCCAGTGGTAGGCACTCTTAATTCTACCTGTGTGCTAATAGATGCCAACAGATGGAAATTCTAACTGCTTGAGTAGTTTGTCATAGATGTTGGTGCTGAAGGGTTGATCTGCAGAGATTCTCTCTGTTCAGGCTGGATTTTGTCACCTAACTTAAGTGATGTGAGACTTGACTGTTATTTCAGTGTTTTTTATATTCCTGTTGCATCCTCTGCTTTAGTGTTTGAAAACCTCACTGCTGATGACAGTCTCTGGTATCAGAGGAGTCCACATCAGCATTGTTATTTCTGGTGCGTCTCAAGATGGCATGACTCTCAGTAGTACAAATGACAGATCTTTCCTTGATACCATCTTTTTCATGCTGTTTTTCTGAGCTGTTTGCTTGCCCCACAAAGTGCTAGAAGAAGTTGGGTTATACAGATTCGTCTTCTCAAGATCCAAAGATAGTCAGTGTTTCAGCTACCCATTTTGTGAAGTGCTACTTCTTGGAAAAAATGAATGTGACATTCAATGTGTTGCGACTCATTATCAGAGGAAGAATTTCTTATAACTATTTTGTCTTCATGTATATAGATAGCAAGATAAGCAGGGTTGAAGTTTCATGCATGCAAGTTTTTAGCCAAGCATAACTGAACATACTCAGTACAGATGGGACAATACAGTTCATGGCTGTTTGATGTCAAGAATAAAAGGCTGGTATAAGGTGCAACATCTGAGGGTTTTATGAAGAATCTGATGAAAAATAGCAAACAGGACACATGCTAATTTCTATGTTGTTCCTATATGCAATCAGTGAGACTTCAAGGAGTCTTTGACCTTTCGATCTTTTTATAGGTATATAAAAAGGAATATGGTGCATATGTTCCACTAATAATCATGACTCTTACAAAATTAGAAATTAGTCCAGAGTTGGTGCATAGCTGTCCAATGCACCACTGTGACATTTGTACTGGTGTGGTCACAAATGTCACATGCCAGATTGATGACTTACAGTCTCCTAGATCACAGATTTTGTGATGGAAAATGGGTATTATCAGTTTATGAAAACAGTCTATTTTGCTGATTTCACTGCAGTGATATGGATACAAATTCACAAAATTAAAAAAAAGAAAGTAGTATTCTTTCCTTAATGTAATAAAAACATATCAAATGCTTGGAAATGAATATCAAGACTTCCTGAACAAGAAATTTTGGCTTAGTCTAGCTGGGAGGCTGAGATAATTCTGTGTCTGAAAGAAATGTAAGTCAAGCAATATAGCTGCTAGCAGTGCATGCAGCCTTGCTCCAGTACCTGCTTCTGAACACGCAGGCAGCATCCCTGGGAACTCCATTCCCACTCTGCCATGCTTCAGTGAGCAGTTGACTCTTGCTGTCCAAAAGCAAAAGGCAAATAAAAAAGAAAGGAGAGAATGAACTAGATGAATGTACAGATACTGTGTGGTTAGTATCTGATTTTTGCAGTTAATATTGTACAATCATAGTTAAATTATCAGAAAGAAAGTTAATTTTCTTTTTTAAAACATGGCAAGAAAAAGGAAGGGGCTACAAGGAGTAAGAGATGAAGATGTTCTAGCAGCCACACTTTCTTACAGAGATGTGAGAATTGTAGCTGCAGATGAAATGATTTGAGGAGTGATGAGTGTGTGTGTGTGTGTATGTGTATTTTATGCAGTATCTAAACATCAGCACATGATAGTACTGAAGAGGTACTTTTTCTAGGGAAAATTGTGAAGGTTCTAAAATGAGTACTATGATCAACCTGCAGTACTTTGTGGTTGCACTGCATAAAGAACATTGTAGAAAAATACCTTATTTTCTTCCCCCTGTTCAGTTTTCAAGGTGATGTTGGTTAAAAAAAATATCATGTAGTCCTGCATATAGTTTTCTTCAAAGCTGACAACAGTTTTGAAAATTACATCATTCACTGGTTTATGTGACAAAAGTATCACTGACCAAAGCCATTCCCATATATCCCAGTCACTTCATTCATGGCTTAATATTTGGCTTTTAGTTCATGTAAGTATTTATTCTGAACACATTTACAGACACTTCAAAATACCGAGGTGCTAGTCTTTAGCCCTCAGAAACACAGACTGACAGTAAGAAAGGAAGGCTCAACAGGACAGGTAATCATTCTCATCTGGTATTGTGTAATCTGCGTTTTTGGCTATAAGCAGCAGGACTTCATTTTCTAAAATTTAGTTCAAGACAGTAAAGGAGAATGCCTCTATGTCAAAAATTTCAGGTAACAGAGATCACTACCTGTCACTACAACTGCCACCTTCCTGCACAATGAAAGAGGAGGTAAGGGCATGAGAAAAGATTACAGTGTATTATGGGTTCTTAAAGTAATAATAAATTCAAGTAACCTGAACATCTGTAGCTATTGTAAGAGATAACGATGGTTGGTTGTGTTCTGAATGTGCAGGGACTTACAAGTAAGTTTAAATAACAAAAGTATAGATGATTGATTCTTGACACCAAAATAAAATAAATAAATCAGAAGGTGTTTCTGCTTGTGGAAATGAAGATACAGGGTGCAGACTGTGATGCACATATTAATTCAGTGAAGGAACTAACAAAGTAAAAGGACCTTATGAGTAGGAGTCCCATTATAGTATACAGCAACCTTATCTTCCCTGTTCTCTAGGAAAATATCATGGCATAAATAAAATTATCACATACACTTATAGTTCCTGTTTTTTTTTAAAGGAATATAATAGTTTTTGTCTTAAAAATATACTTTAGGTGATAAAATTTTATTATTGGTTATTATTTTCTGCAGAGAAGATGGATAGTAAATATACAAGACATCATAAACATGTGAAGTGAAGAGGGCAATGAGAACTTTGATACTGTTCCTCTATTTTTAAGCTGTCCTTGTGAAATCGATAGAAGTTATCATTTTCAGCCAAACTGTTTACTTCATAGATTCTCCATTTTTCCCAGAGGTTTCCTGACAACTCCCCACAATGACAAGAAGCCAACATTTCTACTTCGAAAATCCATCAAAAAACCTTCATTTCAGTCCCTGCCAAGAGGTCATAAAATTTTTGAACTATAAACTGAGAAGAGCTTTGGAGAAGAGCATGGAGACAGTCATGGATAAATTGGGACTACAGCTATGGCTCTACATTCTGTATAAATCTGTAAGTCAAAGAAAGCTTTGTGTAATACATCAGCTTGGCACAAAATACAAGAGCAGCTCAAAATATGTATGCACCAGGTGAAACCTGAAAAAACATTTATCTAAGTCCCACAGGCTCTGTGGATGTAATAGCTATAATGCACTGTCTGATGCACACAATGAAATACAGGCACTGCAATGAACTTGCCACACAAACTTATACTAAACCATACGTGTAAAGCCAAATTGTCTCACAATTAAAACCACACATTACTAATTTTATCTTGTTTTTTAATGAAATATTTATTATTTAATGAGCTACAAATATGTTACACAGATTTCATGTTGAATGCTGACAAGCAAGACTCCTTCTGTCATTTTCTTTTGTTCTTAAAATAGTGCTTAATGTGAGCTGAGACCAAATGAGCACAGATTTGGTGATCTGAAAGAGAGAGAAAGCAATGTGTTAATTCCATTTTCACTTGTACAATGGTCATGTAAGATTGTGAAATATTGCTACGCTTTTCAATTTGATTTTGGTTTTGATTCTTCTCACTGAGCTCAGTAGCTAGAAAAACAGTTGATAGCTGAGCATGATGCTGAGTTTCTAGTTTCCTTATGAAAATCCCACCCAAGAGATCAATAAGAACAGACAAAACACAAGCAGATATTAAAGGAAAACAAGATGCAAAAATTAAATTGGAGCAAAGGTTTCTGGGGAAGTACAAACCTCACACTGAAAAATATACTGAAAGAGAAAGGAAAGTAGGGAAACAGGAATGGAAGAAGAAAAACACTACAGTAAAAGAGAAAATGAAAAGGTTTGGGAAAAAAGAAAACCCTTTTTTTTTTAATGTGTGGAGAGAGACAAGACTATCTGTAAGGAAACACAGATTTTCCACACGGAAACACTTTGGTTTTGGTGAACCTTCTGATATAATCTGGTAGTCTAAATGTGCAGATACAGCTAGAGCAAAACACTAATGTTTCTGCCTTTTCAGCCTGCTGCTCTTACTCCTGAGATTCCCTCCTCGACAAAGTGCTGAAAAAAATGCAGTCCTGTCCTTCACAATCACACAAGTAAGAACCACTGAAGTGTTCGAGAGAACAACCTTGTGCACTGACTATGAAATACTCAAAATATTACAGATACATAAAATGCAGTACCTTGACTGAATCTGCTGCAATCTCACGCAGTACCCTGCAGATGCTGTTCAGAACACTTCTCATTTCTGTGGTTTCCAAATGCTGTTGACTGCCATTCTTCTTCTTCAGATTGTCACGTTCATGCTAATAACTGTTCCACATTGCATTTTCACACAAATTCAAAGCCTGGTCTTTAGGTTTTGATTACACAACAGTGTGTAACACAGTAGCTGCAGTATGATTATCATCATATCCCGAATGCAGTCTTGAAAGCTAGTATGGATGGCTTGACATGAATCAGCATGTTCCTGGTGTCCCAAATGAGCTGAGGAACACAGAGACAACCTGTTCTGGCATCCGCTGAGCAAAACTTCTACAGAGGTCATGGGAGAAGGTAACAGGCATTCAGAAAATGCAGAGTGACTCCTCACTGTGATTTTTTGCTTGCTCTGAGGTAGCATTTGGAGAAGAGGACACCATGATGATTGGCACTATATAAACGTAACAAAATATTCAAGAGAGGTTATAGAAGCCTGTGGAATGGTGATGGAGACCAATATGTATTTTGCAAGGGAATTAATGAAGAAGTGCAGTACTGGGCAAAGCACTCAAAATGTTACGATTACCAAAACAGGTTAATGAGCTCGCGGGTGGAGAGAGGCCTTCAGTGAAACCTGCAATAGATGCCATAACAAACACAGAGAAAATTGTTGTATTTAAATCAGCCCAGCTGAGAAAGCAGCATGGATAGACTTTATGAACAGCTACCAAATTTCCTAGAAATGACTGCTGTGCAAAATAAGCTAACTTGTCCTGGAAAGCCATTCCCTGCAAAAGAGAGGTGTTAGGGATCACTGCACATGCTCATTGTCATGCTTGCAGAAAAAACACTAATTAATTCAAAGTGATCTACCAACTTCCTTCTGAAGCGAAAGAAAACATAAAATTAAAAAGAAATGTAGAATTGGTTTTAGAGCCTTTCTTCTGTGAAGAAATATTCTCTTCACAAATCATTTTCACACAGCACTGTATTCATAAAGATCAAATATTTCTTCAGTTGTATTTCTCAAGGTGGCTTAAATTTTGGAATCAACCAAAGGCAGGATGACTCTTTTCTATAATACAGTAAACCCAGCCAAGCCTATAAAATCAGCCATCTATCACAGCTGATTTTCACATATGCTATGCAAGCATAATCTCACCTGTCATGGTGTCTTTCCTAGAAGTGTGTTCACCCTTATTTCCATGGTAAGTGGCGTTTGTTCCAGTTGATTCATAGTCTGTTTTTCTTTCTTTTAGGCTGATCATTTCCCGAGGTGAGGCTGGGGCACTTGCTAGATCACAAAAATGGATTTATTTTTTCTCGCTACACATGACTGAAGGTATTTTTTAATTCCAGAGTAAACTCTAGAGTTCACTAAAAAAACATTTTAGTCAAGTTTATATTTGTTAGCATACTAACATTAAGCTGTTTGAAGAAACACTACCACATACGGATGAAAAGAAAAGGTGCTGTTACTTCAAGTATAGGACAAATCTATTTATGGGACAGTCAACTCTAAACATAATTTTCGTTCTGAATGTTTTACTCTTTTTCATTTATACCAATGTCTAAGATGATCATTATGAAAAAAGTACAATAATGTTTTTTTTTCCCCCTTCAGCTTTTCAATTTCTTCATAACTTGTGGAAACTTCACGGTATAGGCACTTCCGTTTTTTTTTTCTCAAATGGTTGTTTTATTTCAGTTGAAAAGACTGTTAACTTTCAACTGTGCAGAAAACCCCTCATAAAATAGTTTCCTTCCTTCTCTGTTGAAAATAAACAAACCAAATAAATGAATCTGATGGAGATGGGAAGAAAAGAAAGTTGTTTTTCATAGAAAACATGTAGCAAAGAATGCCTAACACTTAAAGGTAACTCAAATAATTTCTCTGTCTTTAAATATCATACTTTTTATGGCAAACAACTGCCATTAAAACAACAACTACTACTTTAAGGTATTATTAAAACTAACTCCTTCATCACCTATACTCATGGTATGGCTAAAAGAAGTACAAGGTGACTAGGAGGAGAACTGGGTTTGTACTTGAATCACATGTACTGGAGAATGTGAAGATGATCACTGGTGCTGATCATGACGACTTAGAGCTTGTGATGCTTAGGAAAAGGAGAAAAGCAGAGGGAAAAATAATGGCTTTCAAGTAAACTGACTTCAATGTATTTAGGTGTTGGTAGATACAATGCACTTCCTCTTTTGTGGAGGGAAAGCGAAGGAGTACAAGGTGAGTGGCAGAGCACCCCAGAACCTTGTGAAGGCACAGTGGTACAAAAACTTAAGTGATGGTGCTTACTTCCACATCCTCCCCTGGCTTCACCCACATATTTGATATCTCAAAAGAACTTCAAAAGCAGTTACAAAGTCCTTGCTTAAAAAGAAGGAAAAAAAAAATTTTTAAAAAATTAAGACATGCTAATTTGTGAGGTTTGATTGTGAGTTATACCTTTCAGCATCTCTAAACTGTTACATTTTTATAGTTAAGGAGCAGGGAAGCAGTTGTACTTAACTAAGGAGTAGGGAAGCATAAGTGATGCTGAATCCTGCTTAGATTGGTTCTGCTGGTCCTGGCCTCTGAATTTACAGAGCAAATGCGGGACAGATGGTTTTTCTTATGAAGCTGTTAGAAGTGAAGATTGCTTTTAAACTGCTTGTCAATAGTGATGTAATTCTAAACCTGATAATCCAGCAGATATAAAAAACCATGACATTAAATTACCAAATCACTTATTTGGAATTTGAGTCTAACAGGGAACAACCCAGAATGCAAACCTTGAAAAAGTTACTAACACAGGGATGCATTTTGTTTCACATACACCAGTAATGCTTTTAAGCACTCTGGTGTTTTGAAGAAAATTGACAGATAAAGACAAAACCCTCTCTCTCTGTTCCCTGTGGGAATTATGTCTCTCTTTCCATGTGAGAACAACTTCTTTCTGTTAAGTGTTAAGATCCAGAAGCGCCCTCTTTCAGAGTTTTTACTGAAAGCAGACATAGAATCATTGGTTGACATTATACTGAAAAGTGATATCAAGGTTTTCTGCTTGTATTGTTAAAGGACACAGAGAAGAAGACAGAGCTCTCCCTGCCAGCTTAAGCATCTTATCACCAAGTCCTAGGGATGCACGGGACATTGTGAGTTCATTTACTTCAACTCTTTACCCAAGGTAGGATCCAGTATACAAAAACAATTCATGACAGATTTTAATCTAAAACTAAGTATCTCTAATGACAGAGATCACATAACTGCTCCAAGCAGCCTGTTTCAGTGCTTTGTTTCCCTACCATTAGGAAATGTTCCCTGACGTCTAGCCTGATTCCTTGCTGCTCATTATTTCCATTTGTCTGCTATGAAAGTAGAGAAAGTTCATGCTGTTCCTCTTCACAGATGGCTGTTATGTGCGTGAGGGCTTGGTGTGTACCTCTTCCTACTGTCCCCATCTTATGTTTCTCTTATTCGAGTTAAACATATACATTCAGCATGTCCTCATATCCTTATTTCTCCATCTCCTGATTCATGTGCACAACTGACAAAAATTCTTACATCGTTTCTAAAGAACTTTTGTCTAGTCAGATATTCTTATAATTTATTTGTAAAGGATTGGATCCTTTTTTTCCCTTTGGACAGTATCTGCAGTTTCTCAGGATAACTCTGAATTCCAATAATGGTACTCAAGGTATGTGAGTTTCTCCCAGGTTTATGTCACCTGCAAAAATAATAGGCATCCTTTGTATATTATCTAGGTCATTAATGAAACCACTGAAGAGTGCTGGGCCCAAGGTAAACCTCTAAGCAAAGCATCCTTCCATTCTGTCAATAAGCAATACCCATTCTTTAGGAATGGTTTTAAGTCAGTTTTCTATTTACCACACATGACATTTTCTAGACTGTTTGCTAGCTTGCCCTAGTTTGTCTATAAAAATCTTTTGTGAGAGTCTTACTGATTACAGTAGATTTCATTTACTGACTATTTTTTCCACAAAGTGTTTTAATTCTGTTGTAGCAGGAATTCAGGTAGATTTTGTAAGAACAAATTGTATCAAACCAATGTTTGGATTTGATATGGATACTACTGGACAGACAGTAACTTACACTACTATGCAGAAACAGATACTCTTCGTTAAGCAGTATCTTATGTTCCTACTACCTTTGAGTGCTCAGATTGTGACTATTTGTTCCAGCCATTTTCTAGAATGAAATTGAGCTGACTGGTCTGCAATTACACGGGCTCTTCTTCTTTCAAAAACAGTCACAGTATTTGTCCTTTTCCAGTCTTATAACTGATGATGGCAGTAAGATTTAAACCAAAATTTCTTTAAGTGTATTCTTTAAGCAACAGAGTAACAGATTTGAGGAGACAGTTCTGTCAAGAGACAGAACTAAGATCTCAAGGCCAGACATTTTAAGTGCATTGTAATTACAGTCAAAATAAGATTCTAGAGGACTTTGGAGGAACAAGAGCCTTTTATGGACTTGTGTAATGACAGCTTTTGAAAAATAAAGAGCAGCTCTCACTGTTCTTCTGGCTACATTTTCAAATTTCCTCAGTGGTTGCTCTGCAGGACTAAGATGCAACTTCTAGATAATTAACAAGACAATTTGCTTAAAAGCAAGACTATGGCACAATGCTGATGGCAATAATCAGTTTGGTTAGTTTTAATCCTGAACTCTTGGTATACCTATGGAATGACAGCATTTGATTAAACAAGTAGTAAAAAGCACACTGAAAGGCTGACTTTGTGTATCTTAGAAGACTTTCACTGGGAATGGTTTTATCTAACCTAGGTATGTTCTACCTTAGAATAAGCTGAGGGGAAAATGTGCAGATTTCTGAATAGAAAAATTAACACTGCAGCGTAAGTTGAGATACTTACATTGTATCGATCATACAGATTAATGATAGCTGGTGTAAATATGCCATCAACATTACATGAAAACCTGTTGTCAAACTTTGTGAAACTTACATATGGACGTGTATGTGCACTTACATACACATACACATAATCAGAGTAAGAACTGACGAAAAAATAAAGTGGATCCTTCAAATTCTGCTAATTGTGCAGCATGGTCACAAACAACATAGTGGTTTTCAGGAACAGCAAAATAAGTAACAGAATCTCCTCATGCTACTAGTGGACACCATTTTCCTAAGATCTAGTCAGGTAATCTCAATCAGGAAAACACTGCATGAGAATTCGTAACAAAAATTTATGGAATGTTCTTGCAGCTGTAAAACTTTACAAGATGTTAATTAAAGAAAAATTATTCCTGTTCTGAACAGATAATCCAGGTAACAGTAAAGAATGTATTTTGTGCCCTTCCACCACTGTTAACAACAAATCCGGGTGCCAGTGACATTGCTTAAAGAAGGAAAATGACAGTGATGGATTCTGTCTGTCTTTAGTTCAGTCCTGAAAGCCTGGCCTTACCTGAGCGGTTGTTAGGAGACATGCGCACGGGAGAGATGGAGGGCGTGCGTGATGAAGAGTACGGTCTTTGCCGATCCCTTTCTATTGTTGAAGATGAGGCTACAAAGTGATACTGTGACCATCCATCCTGCAACATCAAACGTCGCGACAGCAGTTAGTGAAAACGCCATACGGTTCACCACTTTAAGTACAGAGTATTTTCCTCTTGGGTTTTCAATATGTATACACAAGTAGGTTACTATATCTTCTTCCTGCCACTGGGTGGCAAATATTTTTTTTAGCGGTGCAGGATACAACGTGCTGATTGTACTGACACATCAGGAGAAAAATTAAAATGCAGAAAGTTCTATAAAACAACACATTTCATAAGGACTTAAATTATGAAAACATCAAACAATTCTTAGGCTATTTGTTTAATAGTTCTGTCTTTTTCCATGCCTCTATTTTCACATTGTGTTCTGGCTATGAAAATATTCCAAATCATAAGACTACTTGTTTTCATGGTGAAAGTTAGTTTTTGCTTTAAATAATTTTTATCATATAAGGAAATTCTGGAGTAAGTAGATTGTGAAGATCCAAGAATATAAAAATTCTTGCAACTATCTGGGTATCTGTAGCCTAGTTATATTAACTGCCCATTTTTTCACACGTGAGGAAAAAAAGAATCAATGCATTTTCCTCATTACATTTTTCTCCAAGATGTACAGAAAGAAATTCTATTCCATCTATTTAAAACTGTGGTGATGGTGATGTATTTAAAAAACAGAAACAAAGTAATACGAACACTAGTAACAGCTAGTTCAGAAATTAAAAAGGAGAGTTTAAATCACATATGTTTTGTTCCCGTACCATTATATAATGCAATAATCCAAAATAATGTACTTTACAGTTTTAAAAGGATATTAAAAATAGTTTGAAAATATGAGAGTAAATTGACTTTTTCTAATGCTCTTATTAAATGACTATTTCAAATGTCTTAAAGTATTGATAGATTGTAACTGTCTTTATCCCTGATTCATGTGAAATCTAAATCAGTAACACAAGAGTTTTCCAAGTCTCACGCTGAAGGCATAAGCCTTTTAAAAATGCCTACTTTCTGCTGGGCTCAGTGGAAATTGGGTCAGGCACCTGGCATGGTGCTAAACAAAATTTTTGCAATGAAATGCTGAATAAAAATAATCACAACGAAATATTACCAAAATCCAGTTGGAATTTTCCTGTTACTTACAGAAAAATAACTCACTGTTGAAGTAGTAAAGACTGTTCCCACCCCCTACATCAGGCTCCTCCAGACACCCAACCCTGAATCCCACGCCTTCCCATTCTCTGTCCTTGCCCAAGGCATCTCTCTGACTTTGTTCCCTCCACAGAAACCAGGGGCACCTGGCTATTGGAACTGCAAGAGAAAATGGCTTAAAAAATACTCCTTCAACTAAACTTTCATGAAAGAGAAATCAGCAAGACTGTGACACAGCAGGAAGGAATAAGATACCTGATGTAGAGAGAAGCGTTACAAGTAAATTAGGATAGACAGAGGTGACTCCTAGCTACGGATTCTGAATGTCTGTACTCCCTACATAATGTATTTGTATAAACATGCATGTATCTCAGTCATAATTTAAAAGAAAAAAAATAACGGAAGAGTGAATTCTGGGTCATGGATTTTACAGTAGTCATAGAGTCCATAATGAGTGCTTGTCTACAGAGGTCACTCATATTTAGGACACTTTGCTGAACTGTACCTCATATTTCATGACAGTCATATAAGAAAATAAAAGGAAGAAAATCAGTTAATGAGTAAACAATAGTAATAACTTGAAAATAGAAACAGTTAATCTTTAATACCACTTGCTGCAACTAAAATTTTCTATATCCAATCTTTCATTTCAAACAAGCAGCTTCTACACAAGCTGCATCGTCCAACCTAGGGAAAGGATCATGAGAATGCAAACAAAAACATCTGTAAAGCCCTAACTTCTTAATGTTATATCAAATTGGAAATTATTCACAAGTTTTCAATATATATACGTATATTTGTGTATGTATATATATAATACATACACATTTTTAAGAACTAATAGTTTATAGCTATAATTATAATGATAGCTTAAGTCCAATAATCTTATCCAGGCATCAAGACTGTAAATAACATAGCATTATTTTTACATCTCCTGCTAATAATAACTTGCATGGTGATTTCTCTACTATAAAAACGAAGTATCAAACATGTGAGAAGCTCTTGCTTTTATCCTGCTGAAGATAAACAGTTCCCTTCTTACTCCTTCTCTGGGGTCAGAAGTTCTTACCAGAAAGGTGACTCTCTATAATTTACTCTGTTATACTTGTCTGATAAATTATTTTCTTTTAAACACACTGTTGAAGAGGAAGATATCAAGAGCACAGACTCTGTTTCTGATAAAAGGAGAAAGAATAGACTATTTATTACTGTCTGCCTGAAAAAGGAGTAGACATCAGCCATGCTTACATAGTTTCCAGCTTTGTGGATCTGGATCCATGCATGGCCAGGTAAACTCTCCTTTTGCACTCCTGGTTCCCCCAAATAAATCCCTGGCATGTGGTTAAGAAAAAAATGACCTGAATCTTCCCCTAAACCTTTCTGGGTTGTCTATTTTATCTCTACTGTTAATAGTAATGCCTGGACCCTGGTTCTGATGGGAAGTGTATGAAATAAATCTGTTATCTGCATGGTCCCATGGACTCTACTGGAATAGTGTGTGGCACCAGTTTTGTTCTGCAGAATATCAACGGGTACTCTGTCAAAGTTGCTTCCTCAGAAACAGCATTGCAAGGTGCCTTAAGAGTGAGGGAGCAAAATCCAGCTGTAGTTGGGATGCTGGCAATAGCATTCTTTGTGGCAGATGTTTTTCCTTCTCCTCCCTTCGAATTTTCTCTCTGCTGAGAGTAGCACCTCTAAGGTCTTCAAATAAAATCTGCTACACACATTCAAGTTTGCAAGCCCGATCAGCTCAATAAAACAAGTCAGGCAAACAATAAACTCCAACACGAGTACTGTGGTGACTTGGCATTGCTTTTGACTAAACAAAGCATATTGCTAACACTGTACAACAACCTTCATGGTGTTTTCTAACAGCATTATGGGCAGCTCCCAGACATCACAGTATTTCAAATCCCCAATACTTTCATGTCATCTGTCTTTACCTCTCTTCTGCCTCAAGGAACAAGCTCCTTTCCTTGGAAAGGTAAACAGTTTGTAACAAATTCATTAAAACTATCCTCATCAACAATTCCAAAAGCTATTAGCGTTAAATATTGAAACTAATTTTTAAGAGCCTAAAGGGAGTATTTTCAATTTAATGCCGAGATAAATACCACCTGACATGATGGCTGCTTTCATTAGTTTGTTTCAGCTCTAGTGCCTGTAATGAAATTTAATTAAATTGATCTGGATACTTAAAGGTACAGTATATAGCAGTGTCCTGCAGAGAAGAAAGCTAACTCAAAAGCAAAGTGTGTGAGACTACGTTTCTGAAACCAATTTACCAGCCACAAACGTGACGCAGAAGAGGAAGAGTAAGACAAAAATATCTGACAAGTTGGAAAGAAATTCAATGCAATTCTATTACAGAATGGATGCATTTGTTAACTTGCAGCGATCAATTAATAGGTGGCAACTGCACACTTCAGGAGGGCACAGAATAACTGGAGTACTGAAATAGCATTATATGTCCATATCATCTCGTCCAAGGCACCTTCTACTGGGCATTTTTCTATATTTTGCCTAGAATGAATATATGTATTCTCCCTCAATTATACTCCATAACACCCAAACATTAAAGCTTGATTGGCAGTGACATGTTTCTGACAATATTTTCTTGGGAAAGCTGCAGGGATTAGATTTGGGGTGGAGATTGGACAACCACTGTAGAAAACAAAAGTGATATTGTAGTCTCACTGATCATCTTTTACTGGTCTTAAGGACTGAACAGGTCCTTTGTCTCCTTGCTCAACTGTAAGTCATTTTGAAAACAAATTTTTTTCAAGCCCATGGGGGGGATGACTATACTTACTGTGCCAAACACCTACTGCATAAGTGTTTTAGGATAATGTAATTTGGATTTTCCACATTACTCTTTTTTTGTTTAAAATGTAGGGGGAAAGAGGAAATTTTCTATTGTGTTTGCAAGAATTTCAAATTTTCATAACTCTCCAGTAGCGAATTCCTTGACTTGAGGAGATGATTTGAGGAGGTGGGTGATACTAGACACACCATTTTCTTATTTGTAGTATAGAACACTATGAGAACTGAATGAAATTAAGCCCTGATGGGAAGTTGGGGATGAAGCACCAACATCGCCAGCCTTGGTGCAGTGCCTACCCTGGATAACCTCATGACATCCACTCAGAAAGAAACCTTGCATCAGCTCATGTGCTAATAGCCATGCAGCAAAAATAAAAACAAGCTCTGCCCTCTGACTGATGATGCTCATCAGCTGCTAAGAAGACACTGACTTAAAAAGCACTGAGTAGTTTAGAAAAACCATATGATGGCTGCATGCACATCACTGTCTTTCAGTGCTGAAAAGCGTAGTCTGCCCTGACTCCTGGCCACTGATGTTCTAACGTTGTCAGTAAGAAGGAGAGCAACTTCTTGGAAGCAAGGAAATCCCACTAGGGAAAAGAAACAAAAATGGTGCAACAAATCCAATAAATGAAAACAGCTAAAACCTGAGAAACTACATAGGTGTGTTGTCTTCCCCAAGCTTATAAACTCTCCAGCATGCTACTGCTTGCTTCAGGCCTGATCCTCTTGTGACTTGATTTAATAGACGTTTTCCACATGATTTGAAGCATACAGGATCAGACTTGTTTTGTCATCCTACCTCCTTATCTGTAAGCCAGCATTTTACTGGTTCCAGGATATTAATTGTAATAATAACTGCTCCTGTAATGGTAACAAGCTGTAAAAATGTGAAGTTTGATAGGCAACCACTTGCAGGAAACAGTAACTAGACCTACCAAGGGTGTTAGAAGTAGGTGATACAGCAATAAGGCAAAGTGCCAGTAAGTACGCAACATAGGATCTACTCGCTTTGAAACTCAACCAGACATTGTTCTGAGTTGCTGGTGTTGCCTCTTTCACAAGCT